ACACACACACACACACACACACACACACACACACACACACACACACACACACACACACACACACACACACACACGCACGCACACACACACACACTGTGCGGTCTACCACCGTGCTCCTCGATAAAAAAATCCGTGAACTAAAAATAAAATAAAAAATTAAGCCAACTACGAACGCAATGACTGGATTTCAATCAACACACGATCGAACGGCCTACATCGGCGATCGACCACGGATGGCAGCAACGATCTCCATAAGCGCGTGGCACATCATCCTTTACGTCTCATCGGACGGCACATAGTGCGCTTTTTGGACTGCAACTTCTTGCTCAAGTATATCACATTGCCTTGTGAATATGTTGCATTGTCGCTTGTTAGACGATTCGATCGTTGCCGATATCAGTTCGCCATGGCGATCCATAACATCAGCGATCGACTCCAACGCCTGTTGATGCGCATTCTTCCGCTTCCTGCCTCCAACCCCACTGCCTGCGTTGTTGTCGGAGTCCCTCGCAGAAGAACGTTCTTTAGGGCAGCTGTCACCACCGGCCTCACTACCAACAGACTCCCCACCAACCGCTCCTCGCCTGGGCAGTTGCACCCCGTTCGGACTGTCGGTATCGGCGACGTTGGGAGGAAAAATTGTATGGTTCCCCAGCATGCCTGCATGGATCTTGTTGTACAACACCCTTTCCATCCGGAACTTGAAGTTGTGCTCCTTCCTTTCTTCATTCGATAGCCTGAAGAAATCTACTTGGCCGCTGGCATTCTGAAACCTCTGTATCTTCTTGTAGTTTTGGAAGAAATTGTCCCACTTCTTCATGCAGGCGTTGGCATCTTTAGGCCTCCCCGCGTTCGCCATGCGCTTCGCAATGTTGTCCCACTTCCACTCCTTGGTCCGCATCCGCCCGTAATTGTGACCCAGCCCGACGAGGTGCATCTCTTGCTCCCGCTTGCATCTCACCAGGAGCATTTGGTCTTCCGGAGACCAGTACGTCGCAGACTTCCCGCCGTCGTCGCTGACGCCAACTCTGTTGCCACGGCCAGCGGATCGACCACGAACAACACCTCTGCTGCGTCCTTCCCCCTCCCACTCGTCTTCCCCAAAGGCAGAATAGGAATGTTGTCGTCGTCCCCTGCTTCCACGTCCTCCCTCAATCCTTTGTCGGCATCGTCACCGCCATCGCCATCGTCGTCCCTGCCACCGCTGTGTGCCCGCATGTTTGACACTCCTCGTGTGATGTTCTCCACAGTGGGTCCTGAACGCACCGGTGGTATGCGGGCGCCCTTGTCCCTCAGGTCGGGTTGGGCCGGCGTTGTGCGGTTGGGCATCGAAGGACGTGCACCGTCGATGCGCAGGGACCCGGATGCGACTCCGGTGCGCGCGGGCCAGGTACTTGTCAATCAATCGGCAGACGGTGCAGTCGATCCATGCTGTCGGGCTGCTGCCGATGGTCCGACACCGCCAGTAACGGACGCACCGCCACAAACTGTGGACTGCTCCGTATGTTCACTTCCAGCATGTTGAAGGCCACGTGGCGAAGGATCAACGTCGATGATGAACGTACGACTCGCCTCCCTAACGCCGCCAGAACACATTCCGAACCTGAGATCAAGTCCTCCGTCGTCGTCGTCTCCCAAGCCTTGGTGCAGGAGTGAGGTGAACTCGCTGCCTTCGTTGCTAGCTGACCCGCCTGCTCACACCGTCTGCGACAACAGCTGCGTCGACCCGCTGGCGAGAGGCAACGTTGGAAGTTCTTCCGTCTCCAGCTCCTCGTCCGACGGGGGCAGTGGCGTCTCCCACGACTCTAGATGGGTGTACATGGATGGGTCGTACCGCCGTCGAGGCTCCGTGGTCGTAGGTCGTCTTCCGCCCTGACCTGCAGCCAGAACCGCGCGTGCCTGCATGCCCGCCATCGGACGTTCCCCTCCCTGCCGTTCGTTGATGCCCTCCGCTTGCGACGTTGCTTCCACGACCGACACAACAAACACACGTGGAGGAAGACGACAAACAGGAAGACGACCACAACGAGCACCAGCAAAGGCAATCTCCTGTGCATGTCTGCCATCAATTGAATCGCAGGCAGGCACCCTTCCACGCGACTACTGCAGAAGTATCTTCTCGCATGCCGGTGGATAGGGCCGCTGGACCTTCATATGCCGACAACCACCAGAGTAGACGACAAAGGTGCCTGCCTGCGATTACAAAATCGACCGTTGCCGCCCGCGCACTGCCGGAAGCGCCTCCGTATGTCGTCTCGCGCACGTAGTCGTCGTCCTCCGCTACCCGCAACCGAGCCAACGGTCCACTACGGACGCCCGCCCGCCCACGCTCCACCCGGTCGGCCAACGGCTACCGTTGGTGGCCGTTGCCGGCGTCGACCCCCAGAAAACCTCCGATGTCCGACCACCCACCCGACGGACCGCTCCTGGACCAGCAACCCCGTGTCGACAGGGCCATACCCCGTGTAGACAGAGCCATGCGCCAGTGAAACGCGGGAATCCTAAATTTTTCAGTAGGTCAGGGGCTACTGGAAAATTTAGGACGATTTTGCCTGGGGAATCCTAAATCCTTTAGGACTCGTCCTAACGCCGTTTTCGATCTCGAAATTGGATTTAGGATTGCGTGCAACGAAGATGCAATCCAACAAACATGCACTTTTAGGAGTGTCTAACGAGACCCTACGTACCGCCAGCCGACATCGCCGCTACGTTCAGCCGACATCGCCTCTATCGGAGGCGCTTGGTCTAGGCTGCGAGGACGTGTCCATTGTGACGGTCGGGGCCCTGCATCTACGAGAGCATGCGACCACCTGGCTGTCCGTGATTGGAGCATAACGCACTTTGATGTCGGACCAGCCTTGAGCACTGGGCCCGTAGAAATGAACGGAAGACATTGTTTTGAATTAGAATTATGAATAGAATAGTAATGCACAGAGTAATAAATCATATAATATAAAAGTAATGTATTAAAGTAATAATTAAAATTAATTAGGAAGAAAGAGAAACAATCTATTCTGTCCTTCTTGCGTCTTCCTTGCGTCCTCCGCCAGCCTTCCTGATGACGCTACATGCCAATGATCGTTTCAGTTTTTGTGTGTCTGCTCCTACGCCTTCGACTAACGATCCCATTGCTAATCATGACTTTCGAGCCGTGCTGATTGATTATGTTGATTCACTAATTAGGGCATTCTCGCACTAGGACTTTTTCGACTGAGCTCTGGACGTGATTGCGGTCACATTCATCGAGGTACGGCGGCTATTGCAGTCGTATACATTTAGACAAGTGCTGGTGTGAGTACGCCCTGATTGTAATAAAATTTTGGAGTGGTTGGGTGGGATGATCAGCGAACCGGCAGCGCGTCTCCGCACAGACAGGCTCGGAACGCACATGGTGGCGGGGACTGCATTGGGACTGCCATCCTTTTTCTGTTTTTTCCTTTTCTTTCTTTCTTGGTTTTCTTTTGCAACGTTGGTCAGCTAGCTATTAGCCAAGTTAGCGGAGGTCATACAAGCAGCCTCCTTACTTCCACACTTTTTTTTTTTTTTTTTTTTTTTTTTTTTTGGTGGTGTGTGTTTTTTTTTTTTTTTTTTTTTTGGGGTTTTGAGTTTTTTTTTTTTTTTTTTTTTTTTTTTTTGGTTGAGGTCTAGGCTACCAGAGTGGCCCGGGGTCACTTACCTGGCCGGGCCAAAAATAAAAATAAAAGTAAAAATAAAAAAAATATTTTTTAATTTTATTTTGTATTCTAAATTGGTGAAAAATTTCGATGCGACCCTGTGGCAAAACTTGTGCAGTGTACTTTTCTGCATAACATAGTTTTTTNCCCCCCCCTTCCTCCACACACACACACATTTCTATCATCTGTGGTAGCAGGGAATACTTACTTAGTCGATATTGTAGTCTGGGGGTGGATCGAACGGCCGATCTAGCGGTTGATTGCCTGGTGGAGTATGTCATTGCTTGGGTGATCGCGTAATCGCTTGGTTGATAAGCGTCCGTATGTGGTTCGTTGGGGTGGGGGTTTGGTTTGTCGGTTGGCTTGATTGACTGAGCCATATAGTGTTCGAAGTATCCCATCGGCGGTTGGTATTTATGCGAGAAAGATTTATCGATTGATTGATTGATTGATTGATTGATCGATTGATTGATTGAATTGATCGGCTGATTAAGTAATTGATTGATCGAGTGTTAATAGCAACTGAATTGATAACTCTATTATCAATTAGTCAATTTGTTGATCGGTTGATTGCGCGGTCTTGATCGATTGCCCGGTGATCCATCAATCAATCAGCGTGAAGAGTGATTGATCGATTTGCGCACTGGAGTTTTTTTGATAAGTTTATTATCAATTAGTCAATTCCTTGATCGGTTGATTGCGCGATCTTGATCGATTCCCCGACCCATCAATCAATGAGTCGATTATTGCCACTGATTGTTCGAAATATCGGCAGACGGTATTCGTCTGAGTCGATTCATCGATCGGTTGATCGATTTGCTCTTGATTGATGGATTGATTGATCGATTGCGCTCTCGATTGGTAATCGATGATTGCTCTCGATTGATAGATTGATTAATCGATTGCTCACTGCAGTTGTTTTGGGTACTTTAGTATCACGTTTAGTTACCCGATCCAATCAATCACTCAATTATTGGCTCCTTTGGGTTGATTGATTACCGTCGGCGAATCATTTCTTCAGAACGAGAAGATCATGATGCGTCTGTCGTCGCACGTGCCGAAGCGCGGCGGCTCGAAACTGGGACAGGTGTCGGCCGTCGTGCAATCCTGTTTGGTAATTGTGGATGATTATTTGTCTTCTAGCGCGAAGATGGGAGCGACTGTCACGTGGAGGACGATGGATGCAGAGGTGGCAGCGGGGAATGCCAGCTCAGCTTCGAAATCAGCGGCGACAGGATCGCCCTCGTTGGTCTCTTCGGCGAAGGTTCGATCGTTATCGCCGGCCTTTCTGGGTCCATCGGCCACTGCCGAGCAATCAGAGGGCGCCACGTGGCAGCAGCGGCCAGAGCGGCAGCAGCAGCATCTGGCGGCGGTTTCAGGAGCGGGTTGTTGCCCGCTTGGAAGCGCGGGTAGGGCGGCACCGATCGCGCGGGAACGAGAGATTTCGCGCGCCTGTCATGCAGGGGAATGCAGCGGTCGAGGCGCGGGGCAACTTTTCGCCGCCGACGTCTATGGTGATGACGACACGCGGAAGGTGCGCGGCTTTTTTACTCTGTCGCCGGGTCAGTCCGGCCGCAGCGGGCGGACGGCGGCCTCTGCGCGCCGCTTTGCCACGTGGCATTCAGCCAGTACTGCGAAGCAGAGCAGTGATGACGTGGCGGACTGCGATCCGAAATCTATGGCGGGCCTTGAGGAGATGACAGAGCGGACACGTGTCCTCGCAGAGGGCGTTCTTTCTGGAAACCACATGCATCTTAACCGTGCGATCAATCTCTGCGAATCCTGGAGCAGTGATGATCGAGCTCAAGGAACTGCTCTTCTGCAGTATCTTATGGCAAAAAGTGAAGACGTACGGAACGGGAAGATGTTCAGGATAGGACTGACAGGTCCACCGGGATCAGGAAAATCCAGCCTGATCGAGCGTGAGTGATGATCGGTGATCCACATATAACACACACGCCCTTTCTCTCTCTGTATGTATGTATACATATATAGCCTCCTGACGAGTCGGTGAAACTCCGACGAAACAGTTCGTCTCAGCCCCTCGTTTGTTGTCCTCTTCTCCCTCTCTGCCTACGGTTTACCGGGCAGCTCTGTTTGACGATATATTTCATTATTATATTCAATATATATTGTGATATTATATATATATATACATATGTGATATGATATATATATATACATATGTGATATGATATATATATATACATATGTGATATGATATATATATACATGTTTAACGACATATATATCGTCAAACAGAGCTGCCCGGTAAACCGTAGGCAGAGAGGGAGAAGAGGACAACAAACGAGAGGCGGTGACAAACTGTTTCACCGACTCATCAGGAGGCCATACATATAGTATTACTGTATGCAGGGTTGCCGGCGTTCGGGACGGGCCGAACGCCCGAACCCGAACGCCCGAACGTTCGGCACCCCCTCTCGACGCGTTCGGCCGTTCGAACGCGGATCCAAAAAAAAAAAAAAAAAAAAAAAAAAAAAA